TTTCCAGCAACTTTGTTTTTGTTCCTGATTTACAGCATCCGCAGTTCTTTCAGTTTTTAATTAATATAATTCACCTTGATACATACAATAGCTAAATATAGGAAAAAAAATACATGAAAAGGAAGCCACTTAAAGATTAAATAAAACTCAGCAATAATAAGGCTGAGTTTCTACTTTTGTTCTGATTCTTCTGAGAATACAGGACAAGCCGAATACTTGTCAGGATCTGGCTTGATAGATCATCATCTTTTAAAAATGTATTGCATGGAAGAAACAAGGGTAAGAAAGCAAGCTGTAAAGTTTCAGGATTAAAATGAAACCCCAAAATATCCTTCACTATAAAAATATGAACAAAACTGACACAAGTAATCACGATGAAATTGATACACTGATGAAGTAAGATAATGATCCAAATATTCCAACCACATTAGGAAACCCAGGACCAAATCTTAGGTTTTTTTATGGCCAAGTCCAAATTGTATTGAGTTTTTTAGAAGGTTTGTTGCCAAAATGTCTGGTGGGGTCACTCACCTTATCTTACCAACATGCCTCATTAATTACCAACTATAGCTATATTGTCTGAGTTTTCACCCCATCTTACCACATGCTGCTCCTGGAACAACCCACTGCTCAGACAATATCCCGGAATCGAAATCCTGGAAGCATCCTTTGCACCTGCACCACCCTTAAAAGCCCATTGTTCACCTGGACAAACCCTGTCAACATGGAGTTGCCCTGCTCAATTACAGACATTTGCCCCAAGCATGGCTGACAGGGAAAATCATTGCCCTGCATAGTGGGCAAGATCATGGAGTTGCTGCTGGATGGGAAAGTGCCAGTGTGGGTCTTCCTCCTTGTCCAGGACCAGCAGTGGAAGTCATGTCACTAGACCATGCCACTTTTGTCCAAGGTTGCAGAGTGAATTATAGCAGCTTCACCTGTCTGGAAGAATGCTCAGCCCTGTAGGAAGAAGGTCAATTTCCTTCTCCACTCCTCCAGAGTGAGTGCCACCATCTTCTCTACTATGCTTCACAATCACTGTGTCTCTGTCACTGTGCCCCCCCTTCCCCCCACCAAGTCTCATGCTCTATCACTCCCATTAATGCCTGCAACATCTTCCCTCACTCACTGTGATCCATCCCAAGCCGTAATACCTATAACCCTGTCTACAGCCTGCTCACTCACTCAGGACATCTCGCCACTCGCACCAACAGTGTTGGTGTGTCATCAACTTCCATCTCCTGTAATATGTGCCTCTCCCTCCTTCCAGCAGGAAAGCAGTCCACAAAAGGACAGAAAGAATCCAGGCAGATGATGGGCTGCCCTGCATTCGGTTTGTCATCCTTTAAGAGGAAAGGATCCTGACTCTGTCTGCCCTGAACGCGGCCTGGACTAGTTTCAGACGCTGCTCTTGACTTACTGCGCTGGGATTTCCTAAGCGAAGTCTTGAATGGACAGATGCCTGATAACAAATTTAACATGCTTTGTGTCTGCACTAAATGGTACAGTAAGACAAGAGAAATAAGAGCGTTGGTTGATGGGCAAAAGTTCAAAAAGGCACAGCAAGACTGTGCAAGGCAGGGATGCTGTTAGCATTCAGGAAACCTCAGAATAACTACGAGATGCAGCTTGGTCCAGTCCACGAGGTGGGTGCATGTCCCTGAGCACTCAGTGTCTTTGCAGCAGCTTTACAATGAGAGTTGCTGCTAAAGCCTGACGTGAAGCTTTGATGTGCAGAAACATCACATAAGTGAGTTGGAAACGTACCATGAGGGGTCCCCATTGTCTGCGACACACATAAGTCTTACAACAGCCACTTTTTTGTCAGCACATTCGTAATTGGGAATGTTATGTCAAAATTCTGTATTTGGTTCAGCAGTTTCACAAAATGTTTTAACTGAGCCAATCCATTGTATTTATTATTTCCACTGTATTTTTCAGAACTTGAAATCAGGCAAAAGGTACTCACCAATTTTACAAATGACATTGATGTCTATGTGAGTGATATGAACAACAAGTCAACTGATCAAATAGGACTTCCTAAAGAAGCAATTGATAGACTCCAACAAAAAGGAAAGTATTGCTTATAGGTTTGCTATCTTGTTTTATATGTAAAAATATGGCTGGTGTGAATTACATTCAACGCAAAAATGTATTGACATCAATTTTCTGACATTTTCATATTTCATTCAAGCAGTTTGCCATCTGTTATGTAAACTTCAATATGTAGTTATATCCACAGGAAACAAATGTTGAATGACTTTAGATTTGGAACAGAACAAATGTTTAGTTTGAGTGATTTAGCAGATGACTAGTTCCAATCTTGAAATTGTCAAACACTTAGGCCAACTCTTGAAATTGATGAAAGTTTAAATGAAATTTTGTGACAATTGTTTAGGAACCTCATTGCAGCATTGGCACTGAATTTATGGACCAGATTTTGCCACAGCAGCAAAGAAACAAGACCAGGGCTTTGTTTTGTATTTGTACATGTTATTTGGCCACAAACCTTCCATGATTTTTCACTGGAACTTGTTCTCCATTAAAGAAGCAAAGATGTGGTGCTTTTGATAGGGGATGTGGAACCTGTACAACAGGGTAATCAACTATGTGTCTCTTTATTCATCAGAGTGAAAAGTCATTAATGAATAACAGAGAATCTGAACCAGGAATTGTCCATTAGAATACTGAATTCAAATACAGAAATGAAACAGTAAAGAAAGTAACTATTAGATTAAAAGAGGAAGAGAGGTAAAAGAGTCCAAAAGAAAGGAAAAAAATAAACTTAAAACTAAATCTAAACAAACAAAACTAATCAAATCTGAAGAAATGGTGATCTATATTTGTTAAAGTTATTTTTCAGTGCTAGAGAGTTTGGCTATATTTACATCTTGCCACCTTGTTAAAATTTTACTGACTGTTGAATGAGCAGGCCCTAATGTTTCTGGTAAGTTTTGTGTGAATATGCCTGGCAGGTACAACAACTCTTCACTGCTCCCTGTATCATAATGGTGAGTGTCCCATTGCAATACCAGTGTCACACAGCCTTTGGAGATGTGGAGCATTGTAAACACAAACTTTCTGATTTACATATTTAGCTATTTTAGTTGCTATTTGACTTAAGCTTTAATGAGAGTCGGTATTTTTGACCTCAGTATTAGTTGTTTGTACTCTGTCTCTGTTTATAAAGAGGTTCTGGTAGTACAGTAGTGAATCCTCTGATCCTCTGAATCAGGATTCCCAGGGACAAGTCTCACTTACTCCAGAGATGAGTCATAACATCTCTAAAAGATTGATTAGAAAATATCTATAAAGCCCTGGATCCTCATCTTGGAGGCCTTTATTGGCTTTCTCAACCTTCTGCAGCACCTTCAATGATTTGTGCATATATATCCCCAATCTGTCTCTGTTTCTGCACTCTCCTTCAAACTGGTTCCTTCATTTTATGTCGCTTCTCCTTGTTTTTGACACTGAAAATTAGGAGCATGGATGTAGGAGCAGAAGTAAGCCATTCAATACAATTCTGACCTATCTCCTGGTGGTGTCAACTCCAATTTTCTGTCTGCCCCCATAACCCTTGATTGTTTGTCTATCGATAAAGCTATCTAATTCGAACTAGAATAAGTTCAATGGCACAGCCTCCACTCAGTTCAGGGAAAGAGAGGTTCAACTACAAACCACTTTTGGGAGAAAGGTTTCTCCTGATCTCCACCTTAAAAAGAGAGATCTCTTATTCTTAAACTGTGCCCACTAGTTCCAGTCACTCACCATAAGAGGTAACATCTTCTGAATCTAGCCTCCTCGGAATCTAATACGTTTCAATAAGATCATTTCTTGTTGTGCAAAATCCCAAATGTTAAAAGCTCAACTAAAGTAACTCCACAGAGACCAGTATCCCATCACCAGGTCACCCTTTATTCACACATGGAGAATCCTTGACACTGATCCAGTTCCCTCAGAGCCAGCTCTCAGAGTGAATAGGATGGTTGACACTCCTGTTCTTATCTGTCAGCCAGGGCTCCCTGGTTGGACCAGATTAACAGCCCCAATCAGGGAACTCAAAGTCTATGATGTCCACCTGGCTAATCTCATTATATTCACTACATCCTTCCCCTTCTAAATCTGAGGACATAGGCGTTATTTTTTTTTGCAGCTCCTCCTGGGGTGTTTTAGCACTGGGGCAGGTTCCTCCAACTCTGCCTCTGACAGGACTGGCATGTAATGTACAGTAGCTCTCCTCTTGCACCCGGAGTGTATCAGAAGAAATTAATTCTCTTCAGGTGGCAAAGGCATCAGGGCGGCAACATCTGCCATGTCCATCTCAGATTCCGAGATATCTTCAATGCTTGATGGTGAGGGAGAGCCCATGGGTTCCTGAACAGTTGGAAAGTCTGTCAGGCAGCCGGGCATGTTTTGCTCCCACACCGTTTGCGAGTTTGCAGCTTTCATATGGTCCATGTGCTTGTTCGGGACTGTCGCACCTACTCAAACTTTATACATCACTGGACATGACCTCATGTCGACCACGCCTCTTTCCCACGCAGGGCCATTCCCATGGTTCCTACACCAAAATTCATCCCTGAATTAAATCGTGTCTCTCGCTCTGTGGAGTCTTGTGTCCAGCATTGGCATTCCTGATGCTGTTTTCACCCTACCACCAGGTCTGGGAAGATCACATTTTACCTGGTGCGGAGACCTCTCCCCATTAGCAACTCTGCTGTAGTTGCATGAGGGGCGGTCTTATAATCAAAAAGGAACTGGGACAGTTTGGTATCTAGTGAAGCTGTGGGCTGTTTCTTTAAGCCTGCCTTCAAAGTTTGGACTGTTCTTTCTGCCAGTCCATTGGATGATAATGGTATGGAGCTGTCGTTATATGTCAAATACTGTTTGACTTTAGGAAATACTCAAATACCCTGCTGGTATACGCTGGTCCGTTTTCTGTGACCAATGCTTCTGGGAGTCCGTGTATTGGAAAAGGTGTCTGCAGTTTTTCAAATGTCATCCCCATTTTTGATGAATGAACTCTATGCACATCCAGCCATGTTGAATGGCCATCCATAATGAGTAAGAATATTAAGCCCATGAAAGGACCTGTATGGTCAATGTGGAACTGAGTCCAGGGTTTACCCAGCCATTCCCACGAATGTGGGGGAGCTGCTGGCGGTAACTTCTTTCCTTGTTGGCACTCTGGGCACTGCCTCACCAATGCAGCTATGTCTGCATCCACATCTGACCACCAGTCATCACCTCTTGCCAACATTTCCTTTTGGAAAACCCTGGATGACCCTGGTAGAGTTCAGTCAGTATCTGGTGGTGACCTTTGTCTGGGATAATGACTCTTGCTTCCTATAATAAATGCCATTCTCTACTGTGATCCGGTCACTCCAGGTCCAAAAAGGTTTCAATTCTGGTTTTGATGGTCCTTTGGTTTCCCCCATCACCACCAGCTGTTTCGGTTTTTCCAGGACCGGATCTTTCTGTGTCCAGAGTCTGATCTTGTCAACCGTGACTGGAAATGTGTCCAGATAATTTAAAACCATTACGGATTCTTCCGGTGGCATTACCACTGGTGGTGTATCTGCCAGCATTTGCTACTTGGTCTCCTGGATGATGTTCTAATTTGCAATTATATGCACTTAGTATTAGAGCCCACTGCTGAGTTCGGCCTGAAGCTATAGGCGGTACTGCCTTGTGCTCTTCAGATAGATATAGCAGTGGTTAAGGTCTGTTATTATTTACAACTGTAAAGGTATTGGTGGAACTTCCTGATTCTGAATATGACCGCCAAACCTTCCTTCTCTATCTGGGCATATTTATGCTCTGCAATAGCCAAAGTCCTAGATGCATACACTATTGGGCGCTCCTCTCCATTGGGCCATCTATGAGCTAACACTACACCGGTGCAGTATGGGGAGGGATCACATGTCAATATCAGATCTTGCTTGGGATCATAGTGTGCCAACACCTTAGAGGATGATAGCTGTTTCTTCACTTTCCTGAAAGCTATGGCTTGGCTATGTGACTATTTCCAAGGCTGACCCATTTTCAAGAGTTGATGCAAAGGTCCCAGGATGGAGGCCAGGTTATGTATGAACTTTCCATAATAATTCAGCAGCCCAAGGAAAGACTTAAGCTCCAGTACAGATGTGGGAGCCGGGGCACCTTTGAGCGCACTCACTTTATCTTACAATCCAGTCTTGTTGACTCTGTAGCCCAAGTAGGTCAGTTGGGATGCCTGTAAGACACATTTTTCCCTTCTAAGGCATACGCCTGCCTGGGAGAAACGTCTAAGGATTATTTGTCTTCCCTTTTATTAGCACATCATCGAGGTAAATGGCGACCTGGAGTAGACCTTGTAAAATATTCTCTATTGTCTGCTGGAAAATTGCACAGGCTGATGATACCTCAAACAGCAGTCTCGAATATCAGTACAAAGCCTTATGGGTATTAGTTGTAGCATACTTCTGGGAATCCTCATCTCACTGCATTTGCAAGTACGCATGGCTCATATCCAGTTTCATGAAAGACAGCCCCCCTGCCAGCTTTGCGTTTAATACTCTATGTGAGGGATAGGGTATTTATCCAACTGCAAAAAGCAGTTCACTGGATGTTGAAAATCTCCACAAAGGCAAATTAATCTGTCAGGCTTCACAATCGGTACAATCGGTGCTGCCCATTCCGCAAGCTGAGCTGGTTTGATTATTCCTTCACTTTCCAGCTTCCTGATTTCTGCTTCTATTTTCTCCCAGAAGGCAAATGGCACTGGGCAGCTCTTGCAGAATCTTGGAATTGCTTCCTGGTCAACGTGTAAGGTGGCCTTGGCTCCTTTGATAGCCCCTAAACCTTCCTGAAAAACACTTGGTTATTTAATTAGGACTTGACTCAGCCAGCTATTTTTTAATTGAAAAATGTTGAACCAATCTAGGTGAATCTTTCTCAACCAATTTCACCCAATCAGAATTGGACCAAAGCCTTTTCCTACAATTAGTGGTAACTGAACCAGCTGCTTTTCATATGAGACTGGAACTGAAGTTGTACCCTCAATGTGTAAAGGTTCCCTGGTGTAGGTTATAGGTTCTCAGTCTAGCCAAAGTCTTGCACAATCTTAATGGTTGGAGTCCAGAGCAAATTTTGTTAAAGGCTGGTTCTGTGATCACTGAAATGGCCGCACCAGTATCGACCTCCATTAGAACCGGGTGACTATTTAAACAGACTTTTATTTTGATTGGGAGATAGTAAGAACTGCCAATGGTGCAGTCAGAGATAACATAGTGTTGAGCTGGAGGAACTCAGCAGGCCAGGCAGCATCAGAGGAGCAGGAAAGTTGATGTTTCGGGTCGGGACCCTTCTTCAGAATTATTTTGATTGGTTCTGATTGGGATGTTGTTTAACGATGTAACTGTTCCAAGCCAGATGTAGGTGGACTTTCCAGGGTGTACGCTCTCCAGATACCGGCCTATGAGTTCCCTTACTCAGTCTAGGTCTATTGGGACTCCTTTGTTGTCTCAAGTCCACATACCAGCAGCAACTACAATAGCTTGCCGCTCCAAATCCTGAAGAAAATTTTAACCGTTTGGCCGAGGCTTGGCTTTGTTTTGGGGTTTTGCTGTGGGCTGACCTAGAGTCCCTCTATTCAGGATATGTCCCGAGTGAAGCTATGCAATTGCCTTCACTCAACTGGTGTTCCCCAAGCTCAGTCAGCCTGGCCAGGGTGTCCACTTCCACTGAAATATCCTGTAAGTCATATTCTCCACTTGCCGCATGTTCTAATGGCAAAGTCAGTTGTAGTTCCTGTTTGAAGTCCATTTGTGCTTCTGTTAGTAGGTGTTTTTGTATGGTTACATCATTAATCTCACTCTTGTCACCCCTGAAATAACTCCACAGAAGCTGGTATCCTGCCATCAAGTCACCCTTTATTCAGATGTGGAGAGTCCTTGACACTGATCTAGCTCCCTCACAGCCAGCTCTCAGAGTGAACAGAACTTCTGACACTTCTGGTTATATCTGTCAGCCAGGCTTTCCTGATTGGACCAGATTAATAGCCCCAATCAGGGAACTCATATTCTGTGAGGTCCACCTCATTACAATCACACCACCAACATGTATCATCCTTAATAAGATCAGCCCTTTATCCTCGGATTTGATCATGTAAACCTTCTCTGAGCTTTAATAATAGTTTTTACAAAGTAGGAAACCAAGCTGTACACAGTACTCCAGACTTAGTTCCAGAAAGGCCCTGTGAAGTTGTCACTAAATCTCCTTCCTTTATATTCCATCTCCTTTTCAACCAGCATTCTACGTGTCTTCTATTTGTAGTTTCCAGGACAGGCAAGTGTGTCACATGGCAAGCCCAAATGCCAATCCTAACTTGGTTGTCAGCCTAATACTTGCAATCTCAGGATTATCCGGAAAATGTTGTCCGATTGCAGAATCATATCAAATGTCAAACACTGTACTGTGAGTTTCACAAACACAGGCCAGTTGATTACTATCAGTACCTTGTTTGTTGTGAACAGCTGAGGGGCTGTGCTGTTTGACACGATCCACTGGTTTTTGGGTTATGCAGCTTACATTCCTGACATCACACTGGCATTGAACTTCATACGCCACATTTGTCATTTGTGTGATAGGCAGAACATCCTTTTGGTTTGACAGCAGAATCCCATTAGCATCAATCATTGCTACTGCACAATAGTCATTCAAAACAGCTAGCTTCACTTGTCGCTCGAACCTTTGCAGCGCTTTATCCTTCCAAGATAATCTGACACTGGTGGACTGGACATTTTTGCAAGGTTGTCAACAGTACTAGGGCCTCCTGACCAATTTCTCAACTAAGACATCCATGAAAGGGAGCTCTTTTGAGTGTTCAATTTAAAATGTGAATTTGAGCACAAGGTGGAGCCCTAGTCTCTGACATCTCCAAGTGTGGGTGGGTGGCTGAGGGTGATGAGCAGGGATTGAGAAATGCTCTTGGCTTGCAGGCAGTGACATTCTGTTCTTTTCGATCTGATGCCTGGACGTTGAAGCCCAGGAGTTCCTGCTGGGTTTCACTATTTGCTGCTGTAAAATCTAACCTTTAACCTGCGCAGGAATATGCAATGAGCTGAGGAGAATGCAACTGTGTGGGGAAACTCTGAGCCGCTTACAAGTGGAAGTCCCTCCTCCTTTCATACTTGCATCCACACTTCATCTCAAAAAGGAAGACTGTACCCTGTGAAATTGTGCTCAGCTAAAGCCAAGTGGCAAGTTTCCAGCTTTTCCAAATGGTTGGTTCCAACTCCCTGCGAACAGCTGTCAAACATTCACAACACAGCAGAAAATAATATGACACAATAATAGAAAATGTTGTAAAATCCAAATAAATGTTCTTAAAATTTGTAGATCAAATTAGGATTTTAATTACAACCCACTGTCCTCCCTTACAGGTTTAACAAGAGCTACGTTTGTGAACACCTGGTATGGCACCCTTCACAGTTTACTTGGAAATAGTGCATTGGAAATTAATTTGATGGAAGCAGCTTTTGATGAAGGATTTAAGTGAGTGAGACTTTACTTGAAGAATCTGTGGTCAGCTGTTCAATCTGGTAGGAATCATTAAGGTGTAATGTAGGGCCGAATGGGACAGTTGAAGATGAAGCTGAATGCAATAGCTCCTCACATTGGGAGGATGAGTGCAAATGAGCTGTCTGTAAGTGTGAGTTAGAAGGGGACTCAAAGGCTCTTGGGTGAGGTACATGGTATCAGGCAAAGCCCATTGCTGTGAGTGTCTACCACAAGCTGTGTTCCCTGTCATCTTTTGCCACTCTTTAAATACGAAATGCAACTGGAAAATGGCTGGATGAGTGCCCTGGGTGGGCAGGTCAGTGTCGGTTTGACAGACGAATATGCAGGATCCACATCTACTAGACACCAGGACATTGAAAGGGCATGTACATGAAGCAGGCATTTGTAAACTCCAGCTACATTTAAAATGTGAATATTCCCTCGTCCATTTGCAATGTATGCTGTGTGAAAGTGCTTAAGGTTCAACTGCTGGTCATAAGTAATTTGTGCTGTACCATTGGCGCTTGCACATTGAACATGGACATCTCAATTACGCTGAAGTTAGCAGCAATGATGTAAAAACAGCCAATACTGTCCAAAGGGGAACCATTAATTGTGCAGCTGCTAAGGATGCTATGGGAGGCACAGACCATTGCTACATCATCTGTCATGTGAACTTATTACGGTCTCTACTGGTCAACCATATCAAAATAAGGACAAACAGCGATAGTTTACATTAGTCAATCAGACAGGATATAATTTTGAACTTTTATAGAGCTGATTCAACATTGTGATGGGACTGAAACCTGACTGGAGAGATTTAAACATGAAGCTATTGGCTGGCTGTGGCCCAGGTACTCAACTTGGTCTGAATTATTAGCTGAATTGCCATTTAACTCTCCCTGGGATCTGAACTTTTTTGACGTTTCATACAACAGTAGCTCTGTGTAGAATTTTGTTAGGGTTTTATTGTATAACTGGATATGAATATGCTAATGATAATGATGTAAGTGGTGAAGTAACCTATCATCTGCAGAATAGAGAGAGAAAAAAGAGTTGTAATGGAGACTTGGGAGAAACACCATACTAGAGAGCTGTGTTCAATATACCAATATAAATGAAGATTTTTCAGAATTACAAAGAGTGAGAGAACGTTACTCTCTATTAAGAATTAGGAATCCCAGACCTGCAAATCCCTCTCCCATTGCAACCCACTGGTGACCTCCTGTGCCCTGAAGCTCTTCGACCACATACTGATACAAATCCGTTACTACAGCCACATCTCCTTTCTCAGTACCTGCCTACACAGCCAGCTCATGGATTCCAAACAACATTCAGGCCATCCCAATTTGGACCAAACTGCAACAACCCCTATCTACGGTACATCCAGAGCCTCCTGTGGATCCTCAGCTCCACGCTCGCAGCCATGTGCCGGCATCTCCTCACACCACAGTCAGCCCATCCCAGCTCGGAGCCTCTCTTTCCCAGACCTGCAAATTCCCTACCTGCATTCACCTATCTCCACTGCACCTACCTTTCCCCAGCCCCACTCATCCTCCCTCTCACCTCCTTGACCTGACACAACCTGCCCATCTTCTCTCCCATCTGACCGCCCCACCCTTCCCACTGACCAATCCCCACTACCCGCTACCTGCATCCACCTATCACCATCCAACTTACCTTACCCCAGCCCCAACCCTGCTCCGTCTGTTTATACCCAAGCTCCCTTCCCCCTCCGCATTTCTGATGAAGGGTCCCAACCCGAAACGTCGACTTTCCTGTTCCTCTGATGCTGCCTGACCTGCTGTGTTCCTCCAGCTCCACACTGTGTTGACTAGGAATGCAAGGAATTCAGGATGCAGTGGCCAGTTAAACATTGAAGTCTCCAAGAGTGCGATATTCAATGCCTTAAAGTACCCTAAGAGAGTGTATAATCTATGAAGGGGCAGTGAGCAGTCAAGAAACTGTGGAAGACGTACAATCTTCAGATTTAGCTATTGCAGCCCAAGGCATGGTAAGCAAAGAGTTTTCTTAAACCAGTTTGTACATCATTCACAGTTATGCCAGGTTTAGGTAAGTGGGCTGTGCCAACAGGCAAGAGAGCAGACACTGTACGACAGGCAAATGGTAACACTGTGTTGCTGGTTTTGTTAATTGAACCTGAGCGTCAACACACCTCAGGCAAGGGGAGAGGTTTGAGAAGGTAGGACATTCATGGTAACCTCAACCCGTGTGGGAATTAGTCGGAGTGCAAAGTGTTAATTAGACAGGGTGCAAAATGCATGCAAAATCTGAGGCAAATTATTTTTCTTGTACCATTTCATCTATTTGCGGATAAATTTGCAACTGATTTTTAGAAATCAATTTCTTAATGCTTTGCAGCGTACAGAGTATTGAAAAATATGGTAAACTTTTTGATGAAGATTTGAGATACTTTAACCTTCAAAACTCAAATGCTGAGAGTCCATTTTTATGTTTTCCATGCTGTCCACAGACGTGTAGGGATGCAGATTGCATCAGCAGTTATTTCATCAACAGTGTTTCAAGGGGGTCAGCCAGTCAGCACGGCTACAAAGTATAGGTTACAACACAGAGTTAAGGTAGGAGCTTGTGTTCTATTTCTGTCTTGAAGACAATTAAGTATGTAGAGTAATAAGTATTTTTAACTGGTAACTTGCATCTGCATTGTCAGTTTAGCTCTTTCTGTTGCCTCTGACTTTGGAAATTTGGGATTGAAACTACAGCCTGGGTTTCAGTTCATACACTGGAAGATCTCATATAGAATTGAGGGAATGCTGCAAGATGTTAAAACAAGGCTTTCCCTTACTTTTCTGACTGGCCAGTTCCAATTGTTCATATAAACATTAAAGAAAAACTTAATAATATTAGACCTTACATTGGAGGGGGTAGGACAAAGGTTCACCAGTTCAGTTTCTGCGATGAGAAGGTTTTCCTGTGATCAGAGGCAAAGTCAACTGAAGTTAAGACCATAAGACAATAAGACATAGGAGCAGAAACTAGGCCATTCGGCTCATCGAAACTGCTCTGCCATTCAATCATGGCTGATAAGTTCCTCAACCCCATTCTCCTGCTTTCTCCCCGTAACCCTTGATCCCCTTGATAATCAGGAACCTATCTATCTCAGTCTTAAATATACTCAATGACCTGGTCTCCACAGCCTTCTGTGGCAGTGAATTCCATAGATTCACCACTCTCTGGCTGAAGAAGCTTCTCTTTATCTCCGTTCTAAAAGGTCTTCCCTTTACTCTAAGGCTGTGCCCTTGGGTCCTAGTCTCTCCTACCAATGGAAGCATCTTCCGAACGTCCACTCTGTCCAGGCCATTCAGTGATCTCATTGAAACTTGAAAGATTCTGAAGGGGTTTGTCAGGGTTAACATTGTGATGTTGTTGTCTTTTTCAGTGAGATTGCATGGATGAATAGGAGAAGGGAGAGCATGGAATATGGAGCATTGAAATGTTTAGCAAAAACTTTGAGGTGCAGTTATAGATTTAGGCTGTATTTAACAAGGCTTGTAAATAGAGAAAACAAAAAAAGGTATTTACAACCAGAGTAACCATATAAAATTGAAAGTAATTGCAACCCTCCAATACTTCAGAGCTACAAATGTTAAATTATCTAATATTTCATGCAGTTTTCTTTTTCCTGTTTAGGCTTTTTCTTCTCTTGCTGTTGATTCAATCTGTGTCTTCTGGAATTTTAGTTTGAGGTGAGTGTTCCACGTTCAAAAACACAGGGAATTTCACTGTTTTAACAAAAATAATAATATTAAGATTGAAGTAGGGTATACATTTATCACCAGTTGTTATTGTAAATTAGACAGAGTATAGGGGTGAGAAGAAGCAACTTTTGGACATTATGACCACACGTAATTTGAGCCCACTGCACAGGAACCATCATTTTGGTACAGGTGTCATTGCAAGCAATTTAGGTGTGGACCTAAACCTGGTATTAGGCTGCTTAAGCACATACACGTGGAACTTAATACCAGTTTTGAACCCTTTTACTGTTGGGATTCAGTAATTCAAGTTGCTGTTCTGCTCTGCTCAGAACTTACTTTTTTATTGCAAAGATATACTTTTTACATTAAAAAAACCTTTATGTACATACACAAGGTACTAAAATAGTTCTGTACAGTCTTTGTATAAATACAAAAAAACAAACATTTGTCATTCCCTGAAACTGCAACCAAAGGCATTTCCTACTCATGCAGGACCCTACTTTTACATACATTTTGAGGCAATGAGGGGGTTCTCATAATGGAACTATTTCCCGTTATACTTTGGCAGAAAGACCTTAGATGGGGGTCTTTCCCCACTGCACCTCAAGCAGCAGCTGCCCCAAGCTTCAGCCTGTCCCTCAGTATGTAGTCCTGGACCTAGGAATGTGCCAGTCTGCAGCACTTGGTGAAGGTTAAGCCTTTACACTAGAAGACCAACAGGTTTTGGGCAGACGCAAGGGCTGTCCTTCACCGAGTTGATGGTCCTCCAAGGACAGATGATGTTTATCTCAGTGTGCGTCTCCGGGAACAGCCCGTAGAGCACAAGAATCCTGCATCATGGAGCTGCTTGGGATAAACCTCGACAAAAACCACGGCACCTCTCTCCAGCCCTTCTTTGCAAAGGCACATTCATTACGAAGGAGATGCGTGACAGTTTCTTCACCATTGCAGCAATTTGAGGGCAACATGTGATGGCGCACAGAGACCCGGGGTTCATGAAGTATCTGACAGGCAGTACGCTTCTCACCACCAGCCAAGCTACGACTTGGTGATTGTTGGAAAGTTCTGGAAATGAGGTATTTTGCCAAATGACTTTGACAGTCTGCTGAGGGAACCACCCAACAGGATCCATCCTCTCCTTTTCCTGCAGGGTCTCGAGGAAACTATGTGCTGACCACTTCCTGATGGACATGTGGTCTAAGGTGTTTAACTTTATAAATTTTTCCATGAAGGGCAGGTAGTATGGGACAGTCCAACTGCTTGCTGCATTCCACAGCATTGAAGCCAAGCCTATCGTTTGCAAACATCGGGGCCAGCTAGAACCTCAGTATGTAGGAATATCTGGTGTTTGCGTATTGATAGTCTATGCACAGCTTGATGCAGCCACAAACAAAGGTGGCCATCAGGATGAGGATGGCTTTGGGTATGTTCTTTCCCCCCATCCCCTTGTACAGATGATTGTATATTGTATTCCAGCAGGCATGGCCCATGTCTGAGCTCCAAATGAAGTGGAAGAAGACTCAGATGACTGCAGTGGCGCAGGCTTGGGGGATAGGCCAGACCTGGGTCACATACAGCAACACTGAGAGCAACTCATACCTGATGACCAGGTTTTATCCACAATGGAGAGGGAACGGTGCTCCCATAAGCCCCGTTTCTGCCTCACCTTGGTGATATAAACCTCCAAGTTTTGGCACACAACCCAGTCCCTCTGAACCAAATACCCAGCACCCTCAGACAATCTGACCTGACAGTGAAGGAATAACGGATCAATCGGCCACATTCCCAAAAAATGTGGCCACATTCTCACCTCAGTTTACCTTGGCTCCTGAAGCCAATTCAAACTGATTGTAGGTGCTCGTGAGTTTGCACACTGACAGCAGACCTGGGCACAATGTAGAGGGAGGCTTTGACCTGCTGGGCCTCCGCTGCCTGGAACAGTCACCCCCTCTTCAAGCCTGCATCCTTCTCTGCAAGAAGTTCCATTTAACACACAAACGAGGTGGGAGAGAGAGGGCAGCCCTGTCTGACTCCTGATCTAACCAGGAAACTTTCTGATTCCCACCCTTTGATTGAGACTGCACTACTGTTGATGGTGTAGGGCAATCAGATCCAGTTGCAGTGTAGCAACCACTACCAACAGCATGTTAGGCAGGAGGGGCTGGTGAACACTTGCAGGTCCTCAGTCTTTGTGCTGGACACTTTCCTCCTGCTACCTTTCCCCAGTGCACAGACCTGTCCTAGTGTTGCTGCCAATGAGGCAAACAGCCCAAAATTCATCACAGAAAAATATATGAGGAGCCTATTGAGGCAGGACTGTCACCAGCACTTTGTGCAGGCAATGTAAATGAGACGTCATTGTTTTGGATCAGCATGGGCCCTCCAAATGGGGATTGTGTGTGAAAATAGGCCATTATTAAATACATTCATAATTCCAGAAATGTACCTGTCAGCATGTGGAAAGACTTTTTAATATAATGTGTGAACATTCTTCTTTCGAAGTTTACCATGAGTTCTGATTTTAAAAAAACTTTCATTTATGTAGCTTTTTGTATGACCATGCAGTGTCTCAAAGTGCCTTGCAAACAATGCAGTACTTTTTAAGTGTCGTTCCTGTTGTAATGTATGCAATGTGGTAGGTAATTTGGACTCAACTAACTTGAATGAACAGAAATGTGATAATGACTGGATCATTTGTTCACTCATTCAAACATGTAAGTTAGGAGCAAGAGCAAGCCATTTGGCTCCTTGAGCCTGCTCAGCCAATAAATAAGACTGTGGCTGATTGGATTGGAACTGCAAATCTACATTCTGCTTACCCTGAAAATCTTTCAGCTTGCCCCTTCCCTACCCCGCTTACCAAGTATCTATCCATCAATGCCTTAAAGATATACAATAAAATAGATTTACAATAAAACTCTTGTAAATCTGTGATAGTCTTTTCCTGCTAAATTCAATATTTGAATAACGGTCTGTCAAACAGCCTCCATTACCCAGAAGGGCAAAGGAAGCAGATGCATGGGAACACCACCATCTGCAAGTTCCTCTCCAAAAGTCTCACAGCATCATGACTTGGAACTATATTGCCATTGCTTCTCTGCTGCTGAGTCAAAATGCTATAACTGCCTCCCTCACACTTCTGTCGGTGTTTCTACACCCACAGTTCAACAAGGCAGCTCATCAGTACTTTCCAAAGGGCCAGTTAGGGATGGACAACAAATGCTGGCTTTGTCAGCGATGCCCATATCCCATTGAATGAATAAAATAAAATGTAAATGACGGTCCAACACCTCAATGATCATTTGTAAACTGTTTCAGAACGAGGAATTAAAAAAACTCATGTTGATTTTTATTCCCTCACTTTATCAAAAGCCTATTGTAAAAGAAAGCTTTATTGCAAATTGTTAAAATATTTTTTTAAGAAGTGAATTTGAATCTATATCACTAATGTATTGAATTATACACCTAACCAGGCCAGAGAAAGGTGGAAGCTGGTCTACAGCTGGCTGCAGTGTCATCGAATCTGGGCTTGAATCAACAGCATGTTTTTGCAATCACTCGACAAATTTTGCTTTGCTTTTCCAACTTTATGAAGTGAAGGTAAAATTGCAATATTGTACTTTCTAATTCAGAGAAAGAGTGTCTATTTCGTAAATGTATGCAATAATAGGAATAAAATCTTAGCATAACTACTGTATTTGACCATTATGATCATTGTACTAGTTTTTTTCCTAATTGATGAACCACATTTTCATGTGTGTTGCATGAACCAGTTTGTAACATCGTAACTTCATTATAAATGTCAGGAAAGTCCGACTGAAAGGTCTAACCCAGTATTGGAGTTATTATGATCCTCAACATGAGGTGACAATAATGATATAACAGTATTTTTGACTCATCAAATATTATACACCTTATTTATTTCTAGAGAAGCTCTTATGAAGAAGCTGTTCTTATGAATTTGACACTGATTGGCTGTACTATATCTCTCTGTGCATTGGTGGTCACGCTGATTCTGTTCTCGGTGGTGGGGTTAGTATTGCCTTGTCTTATTTTCTGGTAATTCTTGCATACACCATCAAGTCTTCGTTTTCCTGCAGTTTACATTTATGCTGTTCTTTTCATCCACACTTGACTCTGGTAAATGTAGCAACTAAAGCAGTACAGGACCAGGCTTTTCTGCTTGTGCACTCACCAACCAGCATTGCTTTTGGAATCAGTGCTTAGTGAATCCATTCATACAATCCCAAAAAATTCTTCAGAACTGCTTCATAGACAGAATTTCCACTTCGCTTAGGGCAAAATAGTGATACCGGATTGAGAACAGTTCAGGCAAATTTCCCAGC